TTCCTCGTCCTCCCTTAGTCGCCCCTTACGACACCCTAGGGAAAGGAAGGGGTGGCCTATTCTATGCTAGAACCACACGGCAAACTATAAAATATATTATATAATATTTTTCATGATATATTAGCATTTGCTCGCGACTTCGTTTATGTTGTCAAAATATATTCATTGACTAATAATTCGGTGGCAATAATAGTTGCAACCGAATGGCTTTGTTGCAGTCGCATTTATTATTAGATCATGCTGTGTGCACATGTTGTGGCAAGTTTATCTGATCAATACATTAATGTACTTGCATGTTATAATTTAAGTTTGTATTTGTAAACTTCTGTTATGTGCGCCTAATAAATAAAATAAAATAAAATAGACTGCTATGACAAACAAACTCACTTTTTCCAATTTATAATATTAAAAATGGATTTCTCTCATTTATGATAACTTCGTATTGGTAAAACCGCATTCGCGTCGCTTATCACTTGAGTATGTATATTCACGTCATCTATACATTATGAATGGGCACATCAATTGACATATTATATTTTTATTGTAACAGATGCTCGGTTCGAAACTTGTAAATGCAATGTAATATTATAAATTTTAACATGCGTATTAGCGTATCTTAAAAATTTACAAATGCATTACGCATAAAAGTCGATTATTGTACATTACAATTTATAAATAAAATCCCGTGTGAATACAATCTACGATACTGCATCTTGACATTAATCAAACAAAAACTAAATGTGGGTAAACGAAACAAATTATCTAATATGGCGAAATCATTGATATGTTATTAAAACTAAAACGCAAGATGCACAATTCCAGTTAAAAGTTCGTAACTATTCTTTTCTAATTGAAATGTAAAAATATTCATCATTAGTTTTTTGCCCTTTATTTAGTACGGATGGATTTTAGAAATAGGACAGCCAATAAAATAATACATCACTTTTAGATGATGTATTAAGATAAAATGTTTACCACTGTTTAAGTAACGAGTAGATTTTCAGGAACACAACCGTGTGAATATCGCATTCAATTTGGTGTAATAGTTACTGTGTGATACCGGAACAAACACACATACGAACAGACATACAAAATTTCAAACAATATGGTTTTAGTTTCTACGTCACGGCCATGTGGTCTCGGCATAGAATAAGCTATCGCTTCTTTTCCCGTGGAGTCGTAAAAGGCAATTAAGTGAACTTAATGTTCAAGGGACGAGCAGGAGCGTTCTTCTTTAAACAACACCAAAACCTAATTGCGCTTGCTAACACGCCTGCTATGTATGGTAACTATTGGCAAACCCCCCTAATAGGGGAAGGCCTATGTCCAACGACTGATATGATGATGATGATTACCATTTATTCTTAAATATCTCTCATATATGGCTACAATTTTATTACCTTAGTAGGTTATGCCGAAGTAAGAGTGTAGTCGAATATTTTCGGTAAATAAAAAAATCACATGTCTAGACGTTATATATATAAAAAAAAAAAATGTTTGATTACAAACGTCACTGGATGATTAGAAATGAGTTTGTCTGGTTGTATACTCTTCATTTTCAGTTTTTTTGTATATGTATCTAGAGTTCTTTTATATCGATGGTGAAATAAAAAATGAAGGTTTTGACAGATTAATGCTACGAAATTGAGGGTAGGCAGTACTAAAACGCGCTATTAAAGTTTTTTTAACAATATCACTATATATAACTAAGGTTTAATTAAACAATTGGGGTCCGTAGTCTCGAAGGAAACCAGTCCCTGTGCTAAGCTGGTCAGAATTAGCACGCTTACATACATACATATATATCTGACATTTGTCTCCATAAGGGTAGGCAGAAACAATGGAACGTTAAATGCTTTGATTCAATTAACACGCTTCTGATCTCAATTATTGACGATAGTTATTAGAATAATTTGACAATGTACTGAGAGTACCAATCGGAATACCTTCGAGACAAGCACCTAACCTTCTGGTTAATTTGACCCCATTTTTTACAATTTTTTTTTATTCGTTAATTAGGTTTCTCCGTTAATTCATATGCGCAAGTTTCAGAGATAGGATATCGATTAAATACACTAATATTCAGTTAGGCCTAGAAAAAATTGTGCGTGCTGCAGTAACATATAGACAGACAAACATTTTTTTTTTTAAATAATGTTTAGTCATATATTGGTTTTATTAAGGCACCTCATATTAATTTTTCTTCAATATTTCTCATGTACTGACCTCGTCTAATAACAATTTTATTATAAAAGTAAAATTTCTTTTTTATTAAACATTATATACTTACCAGTTTTTATCCATGACTTCCACGTAGTTGGGATGATTCTATTGACCGGGATAATATTTTTTTATGCAACTTAGAATGACAAACAAGCTGACGGCCCACCTAAATGAAGTGGTAACCGTCGCCTATAGACATGAGCAGTATCATGGACAAAGCAGGCTACGGTAACCACTTACCATCAGGTGGGCCGTATGCTGGTTTGCCACCTCAGTGGTATAAAAAAAAAACAGAGTATAAATACTGTTTCGCCCACGATATCCCCCATTCGTTGCCATTCCTGAGGACTCAGGTGTTATTCCTTCGTACACTGTAAATTCACTGCCATATCCCACCCTTCAAACCGAAACACAGCCATGCAAACACAACTGCTTCACGGTAGAAACACGAATGAGACAGATCTGCCCAAGCAAATGACTTTTGTATACAGTCTCCCTCTGGTATATTATTTCGTCACAGTCGTAGAATACTGACGGATCTGACAAAGATTACATATAAAGATCCGTCAGTATTCTACGACTATGACGATTTATGTGTGTACCATTTTTATGACAATTGGTTATGTTGTTAATATGCCAAGGGATAACAAACAAACAAAGAAAGTCACTTTCATATTTGGTAATTAGTAAGGCTTGAATATATTTATAAATAAATTATGGGGAGGGGGGGAGAAGTGATTATTATTTATGGGGATTGCATCTCTATTGCTAGCTCAGTTATTTTTTTTATGTTTGTTACAATTCCATATTCATATTTAATTCCATATTTTATTAAATTGTAAAGACAAAGTTTATTTGAAAAAATTACAGATGAATTCCTAACCGTTTTTCTCAGCTGATATTGAACTTGAACAAAACAGTACATTCATAAAAAATACTATACAAAAATCTTTAGAATTAAGTTTACTTGACTTTATTTATTTATTTTTCTCACAAAAACTTATAACTAAATATGTTACAATTATATTAGAAAAATTAACAACTTCTCACTGTTACGTAATCCATCTTTAAATTTACAATTATTACAAATTCCATACAAACTTTTGAGTAAACATTATTCTCGATTATTATATTTATTTAATTGTGAAAATTGATTCATGTTTAGCACTGGTGACGTAATCACATAACAGAATCACAAAAAAAAAATATATTTATTGATTACTTCCGACTATTGCAATAATAGTAAATTTTGGACAAATTTCAGTTATATTGCCAATGTTAATAATTATATAAAAATCCTGTGGTATGAAATTAATTCACGTTAATCTTCGAAACCGTTTACCGGAATTTAATAAAATTTTGTAAATGTATATTGTTCCCTGCACTTTGGGTTAGAGGTTAATTTTTGTTTCGATTTTATATTATTAAAACTACTATCACACCACTTATCACAAAGTGTAGAGTCACGTTATCTATTCATTATGAATGGACAAACAAATTGACATATCATATTTTGTTGTAACAGATACTTGTTGGAAACTTGTAAATACAATGTAATATTATAAATTTTAACTTTTTTTTTTTATACAACTTAGAATGGCAAACAAGCTGACGGCCCACCTGATGGAAAGTGGTAACCGTCGCCTATAGACATGAGTAGTACCATGGACATAACAGAGTATACTGATTCGCCCATGATACCCCCCATGCGTTGCCATTCCTGAGGACTCAGGTGTTATTCCTCTGTACCCAGTAAATTCACGCCATATCCCACCACCACAAATTTAACAATGTATTGACGTACATTATTAACTCTTTGCACTCCATTTTCGCTATATTTGCGACATTAAAATGTTAACATTACATCCACTGTCGCGGCTACAGCGACACGGTTGTTTTTAAGTTAGTAGTTAGTTAAGCGAAATCGTCTGTGTCTATCTTTTAATGTTTATCATATGTTTTTTATGTTTACATTATAATAAGTTATTGATAAGTTAATAAGTTATTGGTATTCTCTATGAGTTACTAGACTGGAGTGCAAAGGGTTAATTTAACGAGTGTACTGAAACTAGAAAATAATTATTAAATTATAAAAATGATCCCGAATGGACAGAATTGTATATTGACAATAATGAATTTAAAATGATGTGGTGAAATATCTAATGTATGCTGTTACTGTTTTTAATTTATCGATGCAATAGATTTTGAATTTATCGCGAATAGACGGACAGACGCGGCGGAGGACTTTGATTTGTAATAATAACGTGTAATGATAAAGCATTTTAATGAAAACAGTGGACAGGTATTTTAAATAATCATATATATTATATAGTCAATAAAAACCAGTCTAGTACAAATTTAACGCTTCGAGGTACCGGACCAAACATTTCTGGGCAAATAGGTTTTTTTACAATACAGGGGGCAAACGAGTGCCGCTCACCTGGTGGTAAGTGACTACCGCCGCCCATGATCACCCAAAACGCTAAAGGCATTGCAGGTGTGCTTTAGGTAGTGTAGGTCACTGTGTTTATAGGTTATACTAATTGTTTTATGTACAAATTTATTTATATTTATATTTATAATTTAATAAACAATTGGGGATAAATAAAAATAATAATTGGGGTAATTGAGGTAAAGAATTTGATGATTTCTTAGAAACAGAGCCATTTAAATCAATGTTCTATATATTTCTATGTAATAACAATATTGTCATGTACCTCTATTAATATTGTATTTATTATATTTATGTTTAATTGGGTTTTCATTTTTCTTTGCAGCGCTCACGGTGCGATTCCTCACTAAACGGTATATTGGCGAATATGATCACCAGCAAGGTATGTATTTATAATATTTTTTTTAATAGTTGATAATGGAATGGTAACCCCGTCTGCGCTATCGATGTACACTGGCGGGGCACTAGTGAGGAATAGAAGAGCATGAAACAGGTCAGTTAGCTCATCGTGATGAATGCGACAAGTATTAATCACAATGGTTTCCAACAATTAACAATCCCTTTCCCATACATACATATATTACATACATACATACATACATACATACATACATACATTATGTCAGAGACTATTTTACAGCAGTAAGTTTAATATATTTACATTTCCCGTGGTCGTCGTAAGAGGCGACTAAGGGAGGGCGAGGGATGAGCAGCAGCGTCTCTCTTAAAATATCTCCAAAGCGGTTGCTAATCCGCTCGCCAAGCGTGGCAACTATTGGCAAAATCTCGAAGAGGGAGGCTTATGTTTAGTTTTACACACTAGTTGTACACTTGACTGTGTAGGAGAGTCAAATGCTGATTTGATGAAGTTTAATATACATATGATTGAAAGGAACGAAATGAGACATGTAATTTCTATACACCCCATATCTAGATTTCAAGCCTCGTCTAAATTTAGTAAGGATTTTAATTGTGCATTTTGGACTATGGTGTAGATTGTCGATGAATTTTTATGAATTTTTAAACTAACGCTCGAGATACCGGACCAAACATTTCTGCGTAAATAGGTATTTTTTACAACACAGGGGGCAAACGAGCATGCGGCTCACCTGGTGGTAAGTGACTACCGCCGCCTTATCTGACAGTCTTCTTAGCTCTATTCTGATGGACCGATCTGATATATAATCACATGTGTAACCATAATCTAACATAAAAATTGCATTAACTTAATATTTACATTGTGGTATGTATGTGTATCACTGTGATCTAATTGCATACTTTTATAATTTAAAATTGAACGCTACGATATAATTAGTATCGTATATAAGTCGGTATATATTTTTTGTGTAATTTGAAATGGAAAGAATCCTACAGTTTACAACCGGTAAGAGTAAACGTTATAATAGGCATGAATAGTGTCATAGATATGCCTCCATACCCTACAATTCATTGCCATATCCTACACTTTACTCTGTAACACAGTCTACAAGTACAGATATAGCGTATAAAATGTCAAAGCATAAATTATTTACTACGTATATTTCACGTTTATAATTGAGTAATTAAAATCTATTCTTTTACAGACAGTAAGTACAAACATGAAGCACTCCTGGATGGCGAGCCTATCTTATTTGAAATATTGGATACGTGTCCTAAGGTATTGTACGAGTATAACAAATTATTGTATGTTTATTGAACATTTATCATCAATACATATAATGAAATCGTAACTGGTTGCTGTCTGTACGTGGAGAATAAATGTAAGCAAAAATATTGTATTTATAAATATAAACATCGCCAATGCTTAACTGCAGTTGCCAACCAAGTTTGGCAACTACTGACAATATTCCCATTATGGAGAAGGCTTATATTTAGCAGTGGACAGTTAACGGTTGACATAATGATGTGATGAAGTGATTAAAAAAATAGACTTACTTAAAGCAAGGTAAATGAAAGCTTAGTAAAGATATGTGATGAACGTTTTCAGAGTATAGACGAGCTGCCCGGGAATGAGATAGCACAATGGGCGGACGGGCTGTTCCTGGTATACTCCATCACAGACAGGGAGTCCTTTAACTACGTTCGCCGAGCCAAGCAGACCATCCAGCCGGATATACCTCTCACTCTTGTCGGCAATAAAGCTGATATGGTGCATCTGCGTCAGGTAATAAAATATATTGCTGTATTTTAGGTATTATTATCTTTAATAATTATTAAACATTAGGCATATAGGTGACAGGTTTGATTGTCTTGCTTAAATACATATCTGAGAGGTAATCATTTTGGTAGCGTAGAAATTTGCAGATGTTTCCTTTTTATTTAAATTTATATATATGTTTTAGTTATTAGAATAGGCAAAAGTTTATAAAAATTAATATATACATTACTAATAGAGTGTATATTTAAAGTGGTACCTCTTTAAATAGTCCGATGAATTTAAGCTACCACGAGCTTAATAACAAAATGTAAACTATACCTGCTTATGTATGTAAAAGCTTACCGTTTACTTTTTGTTATTGGGCTCGCTTAATCGAAGTTATATTCAAAGTTGATCCATTTAACTAACAACTTCTCTGAAAATGAAATATAGACCTCATGTTTTGATTACGATTTTCATAAAAACCAGAAACTAATAAGATTTCTGACTTTTTTTTAAATAAATGATATTGGAATGTTTATTCCGCCTGTTTTAACGATATACTCTGGGGTCCACCTGTGAAGAATGATAGGTGTGAATGAAAAGGTAGGTAGGTCAGTTACCCTATCGTGATAAATACACCTGGTATTCAGCACAATGGTTTCCAGGGAGGACCGCGGGGAGGTCGATTTGGCAAGGTATATACTAACAATGGAACTGGCAGTCCACACTACTAATAATCCTTTAATGTAATCCTAAAAAAATAATGTATTTTATTCGTTTCAATTTTCCAGGTGAGTCCAGAGGAAGGCGAGATTTTGGCCAAAGACTTCGAATGCAGTTTCGCCGAAGTGGCGGCAGCCGAACAAGTGAACCAAGTCAGCGATGTATTCCACGACTTGTCTCGAGAAGTTTTGGCACTCCGACGGAGAGCAAAACACAGTCTTCTTGATAGAATGCTCGGTTCTAAGACTGCCTACAGAGTATACTCCAGAGGGAAGAGTGACAGCGCTTTGCCAAAAGATTAGTCGTTACTGCATTTAGTTTATAGTTTAGAAAGTTATGTGCAAGTATTAAATTCACCCACTGAGCCAAAGAAACTGTAAAGAGGATCTGGATTTTCTCTTGAAATTATATCTTTACTTTCAACTGTTAGTATTCTTTAAATAAAAGAAGTTTGTAATGTTACCCATAGTTGCAGGCAAAGATGAATGTTATGGTAGTACAATATGCGCTTACAATCTAAAGGGCCGCACTCTGATTTAGTTTAGTACTGTCATAAATTTATTTATAATTTTTCGTAGTATAGTTAAAGACAGTGCAAAATATAGTATAAGTTTTTGTCAGATTTGCAAGGTTTTGTTTGATCTCACACTTCGGTCATACCATTTCAGTTATAAAGACTAGCAAATCATAGGTAGATCCTAGACCTTTAATGCATTAGACTTTTTTGACATCCGTTTATTTTACGAGTAATGAATAATTTAAATTTATTTGTACTTTTTCTAGTGAGTGAGATGATGTTATATTTGTTTCATGTTGATAACATTATCAACTTAGAAATAAGTGTCCAAGTTACTATCAAAAATATCTTACTAATAATATACAATAATAAAATTGTAACTAAAGAAAGTCTGTACATGGGAGATATTTAAGAAAAAATGGTATAAGAGCAATAGAAGTTAAAACAATACGTCTTAGAGACTTAATTATAGTATTACACCTTACACCTTAAAATTATTACACCACGTATTCGTATAAGAATTCGATTTTCCCAGTTATATTTTTTGAAGATGTAACTTAAAAAATTTGGAATTGAAAACATTTTTTACTGTTGTTAATATACAAGACCCAATATTAACTTGTGTAGCAGTTTACTAGTTGTATGAATGCGTACCCAATTTAAATTAATTAAAAAATAAAAGAATCAAATGTTTTCATACTTAATGTATCAAATCTTATATTTTTATGTGTTCATTTAAGTAGTATGTAATTGGTAGACTCAATCAGAAGTATCTGATTGTCTACATCTATAGCGTGTCTCTTATTGTAATGAAATTTAAAATTAAAAATATTTTAGTGAATAGTCATCATATAATGTGTGAATTATTATAATTACTGTTATTACATAGTAGATTGCTATCTTTTATTTTCGAAACATCAATACGTGATGTAGGTTCTTATGATAGGTGTTAGATTTCCACTAATTTCAAAAAATATCTTCCAAATTTCAGAAAAGATATATAAATGATGTTATTATTATTATTTTTTACTCTGAAAAGTATATATATATATATATATATATATATATATATATATATATATATATATATATATATATATATATAAAAACACAAGAGGCCTAACATTTTAGTTACTCTCTTATTAGTGACTCGAAATTAAAAAATAGCAAAACATGAGGGGATTTAGAATACAAAAAAAAATACACATTTTTATTTTCTATTCTGTAAATACTGAGAAACACACAGTTATTCTGTCGTGTTTATATGGTATTATCTATATCAATTTGTAGCAATTGCTTTTTTTTCATCAAGCAGGCCTTCAGCTTATTTGCCATTCTCTAATTTAATATTACAAAGAGGAAAGATTTGTTTATTTCTTCAAAACAGATTAATACAAAAACTACTCAACATATTTTAAAAATTCTTTGACTTATATTTTCTTTGTTATCAGCGTGTAACATACGTTGTATATTATTTACTAAAATTCTGTCTACCCGTGTGAAGCCGGGCCGAATATCTAATAATATAAAAAAAATTAGTATTGAAAGCACCTACAAATAATCCAAGATTCATATTTCTGTACAAAACATGAAGTGTCATAAATTAAAATTAAAGATTGTTATCGAAAACAAAAATTGCATCAGCGAAGTCCAATATTTTTTGAAAAAGTTATTCTACATATTTCGATGATTAGAGATATCTGAATACATTTAGAAATCGTATCTAATGTGTATAATATATTATGCTATGTTTCACAACTGTTATTAATTGCATATAGACAAATAATGCTTTTATTGATCTTTGATGTATATCTTGGGTTTTCTGTTTAGCGACAGTTGAAAGGCTTTTATCGTTTTATCGTAGGTTGAGGTTTTTGTTCTGTTAAATATTTTTTACTTTTTTTTTTTTAATGTTACAAGAAAACATTTTGTCGTTGAGTTACTTGTGTCGGTGAAGTTTATAAATAACATTTCTTGAGCATTTCATGAGTGCATGCGATATATTTGTAAGTGAATTATTTAACATTAAATTTTTTTTATAGAATTTAATTATTGTCTGTTTCATTTATTAATCTAAGTGCCCGTATCTATATTTTATTATCTTTCACATACTCCAACATAAGAATATATATGTATTACCAGAGGGAGATTTCGTAGAAAAGTCGTCTTTCGTTGCTTGCATCTGTCCCATTCGTGTTTTTACCGTAAAGTAGTTGTGTTTGAATGACAGTGTTTCAATTTGAAAGTTGCCATATCCCACGGCAATGTACCTAATTGTAGGGTACAGAGGCAATCCTCAGAAATGGCAACGCATGAAAAGTATTGCGCCGACGCAGTATGCTCTGTTATGTCCATGATATTGTTCATGTCTGTAGGTGACGGTTACCCCTTTTCATCAGATGGGTGTCACCTAGTTTGCCATTCTAAGTTGCATATATATATATATATATATATATATATATATATATATATATATATATATATATATATATATATATATATATATATATATATATATATATATATATATATATATATATATATATATATATATATATATATATATATATATATATATATATATATATACAAAATATAACCTATATAAATAGCGGTTTATACTGGCTTATACTAATACATATAAGTTGACTAAAATTTTAAAACAGTTTAGATTTTCTATAATCTTTAGTATTAATATCATTTCGTTATTCTTCATTCAATTTTTAACTCATGTGGTTGTTGTCGTACTACTACCCTACTTTTGTAATTGTAACAAAAAGCTTTTTGGTTCCAATAATTATTATTCAATATAATCTTCTTCAATAAAGTAAATAGTAAATTATTCTATTTTTAATATTAAATTATAAATCAAATTACGATTATTATAATTAATTATTCACTAATATTATATTATTAACATAGAAGTGAGTTTGTAAATATCTCGACTCGGCTTTATCGCCAGAATTGATTGACGCCATCCCTCTAGAAGTGGTACTTCTGGCCGCTGGCTAAGAACGTCCTTTTGGATTTCCTAACGGATTTCTGAAGGATTGTGTAAATGGGACGCAACCTTTCTATCTAGCAGATGCATCAAAACCGTGGTCGATGCTCTTGCTCTGGTAGCAAGGAGATTAACGCCAGTGTCTCACAAAGTTCAGTTTTATCCACAATGCTGTTACTGATGCACGCCAATGATCTGTTGACTACAGTCGACATTTATTGTTGTGTGGATGACAGTACTGGGGACGTGTTCTTCACGGGCCGTGCCAATACCCCTCGTCCTGTTGTGGAGGCTAACCGCGGACGGCTTGTGTTTAAAAACTTGAGTACTCTTACCAAAATCTCCAACTGTGGAAGGCTAAATTTAGTCTAATTCAACTTTAGAAAACACAATCTTGCGTGTTCACCGCTAAGAAAACCCCATTTGCTGTGACTCCGAAATTTCTGAACACGTCCGTTATCGTCACTAAAAACACTGGGATTCTTGGTGTCGACATTTCCAGCAAGGTCGGGTTCGGAAGTTATCTGGAGAACAAGGCCAAGCTAGTGTCCAAAAAGCTCGAAGTGCCAAATAAAAAAAAGCAATACTCCATCCCGAGACAGAGACTGCTATTATATAAGTCACAAGTCCGGGAGCTCCTGGATATCAGCTTAGTCCTTTTGATTTGGTGCAGAGGCATTAAGGCGACATTTTGTTCTCTCTGCATCTTCTACTGCCTGTATAATGGTTTGTGTTTTGAAGAACTTTTCAATATGATGCCTACAGCCACCTTTCACCATCACACTGCGCATAATTGGCAAGGAATCCATCTTCACACCTTAGAACCAGTATGGTCACGCACAGTGCAGTTTCAGAGAAGATTTCTCCAGCGAATACTCAGGTTATGGAAGGGTCTTTCTGTCGAGACTTTCTCTAAAGACTACAGGGTATAATAGTTGTTCAAAATGGGCATATTAAGGTTTTTTAATGGTCGGCAACGCGCGTGTGACATCCCTGGTGTTACAGGAATCAGCTACAGTAACGAAGTTTCCGATCAGACGGGCCGTATGCTCAGTCGCCATCAAAGTAATATTAAAAAAATCCTTTTAGTACCTTAACAGTTTAATCAATCACCATAACTTATGTGTACATGTCCAGGGGTATAGGTGGCAGAAAAGAACTTAGGTTATTTTTATCACGGTCATTCAACATATCACAATCCAGGGGAAAAGGAGTTTAGTATCGGGTCTGATAGCCCCATTGCACCTCCCATCGACCTCCACGCATTTCCCCCTGGAAACCATCTTAGTTAATTCTTATGGAATTAGTCATGATAAGTTAACTAACTTACTTTCATCCTCATTTATCAACACTCACTGATGCTCCGCCAGCATATACCGGTAGCTCAGCTGGGGTTACCATTCCATTATCATTACCCATTAATAAAAAATATTAATACTATGTCCTTTCTGTCCATATCATTATCAGTGCATTCAATAATCAAACAAAGGAATAATGAGCTGCGATTAAAAAATGACTGTCACAGTCAGTAAATCAACCCCAGAGTCAGGTATACAAAGGGTAATCTGTTCAAAAGTAGGTCTAAATTGAAAATAATAGAGCCAACCCTCGCTGCAGGGGTGCCACACGGCGACCAATGAGGTCGCTGTATTTGTACTAGTGACAAAGATTTAAAGATGGCACCCATAGATGACATCGACTTTATTACTACTATGTAGTGAGGGTATACTAAATGTATTGTGTAGTTGTAGTTAGTATTCAATATATTAATTAAAAAAATATTTTAATTAATTAAAATTAATTTAACATTATATCAACCTGTAACTGTCTATTAGTGAACATAAGCATCTCACTTGGATGGTTCTGCCAGTAGTTGCCACGCTTGGCAATTGCAGTTAGACTTTGTAGATGTTTTAAGAGAGACGCTGCTACTCATCCCTGGAATATTAAACTCTCTTAGTCGTTTTCTTATGACATCCATGAGAAAGGAAGGGATGGCCTTTTCTATTCAAGACTACACAGCATTTTAATTAATTTTTGTATAAAAAAATATATATTAATTTTTTTATTAAATAAATCTTATGTTATGAGTATCTATATAGACTGTCTATATATCTAGAGCGGTCCCGGCATAGAATAGTCCACCCCTTCTTTTCCTGTGTATGTCGTAAAAGGTGACTAAAGGAACATAGTAGTGGTATTTATTTATTTTATTTATTTCAAGTAAATAGTTACATAGACAATATATATTCTTAGTGCTGCGAAACTGCATTGCAGTTTGTCTGCAGCTTTGCGCTCTTGTACATATAGCTTTATAAACAATTATCGTAAAATATCCCTATAAGTCTAACTGCGGTTGCTAATCCGCCTACCTAGCATGGCAACTACTGGCAAACTTTATTGAGAATACCCTGTGAAAATTATTTTTATTCATTACTCTACTATCATTCTCATTTTATTCATTACTATACTATTACTTATTTTACAAACCGCGCCGTTATAATCAATTTTGTGGATAGATCAACAGCTATGTTCATGTCGACTTGAGCTCCTTAGGGAATTTCGGTCAATTTTGTGTATTCATGATAGTGTTGTAGGGTGTTTGTATTATCATATCCTGTCTGTTATTTTACACAGAGAAAAATATCTTGTTATCACATTTTTAAATGAATGTTTTATCGTTATATCATTTATTTATTTATTTAATGGAACTTATTATGTTCTATTCAGATAGACTATATCTATACAGTTTTTGCATCTTTACAAATGGTAACTATAATTTTTTGCCGCCATCTATATGAGATATTGCTGTGTCGTCTTGGCATAGAACAAACTACCCCTTCTTTTCCCGTGGGTGTCGTAAGAGGAAGATCCGAAAGAACTTAATGCTTGGAGGCAGCGTTCCTTTTAAAATATCACCAAAATCTAACTGCAGTTGTCAACCCGTCTGTCAAGCGTGGCAACTATTGACAAAACGCCCTTGTGGAGGAGGCCTATATTTAGCAGTGGATACTTAACGGCTGATATATTGATGACGAATTTTCGAATAATTTTTGAAATAATATTAATAGTAATAAGATATAAGTTGGAATGAGACGGAAGCATGAATGCGCCAACGAAAACTTCGTAACGATAGATTCATTCATACCACTTTCCTAAGCGGGCAGGTAAAAGCAGAAAAAAAAAAACTACATAGGACGTTCAATGGTTAATTCGAGTTGCATAAACAGGCAACCTCTCTAAATGCATAAATTGTAAACCAATCTATGGATAGAAAAAAATTCACTACCGTATCACAGACTGTGTGGCGGTAATGTGATGAGGCAGCAATTTGCAATATCACGACCTACCTCATGCATGCGATAACGAACGTGTGAATATGCAACGCCAAATATACTCCACGTAAGGTCCAGCAGTTTCGCCGTTATAGCCACAATACATTGTCCAGTTCTGATACAAATGGCAGATCTTTTAATACTATACTAGACTGAGTAATAACTATACTAGAGTAATTGTTACTTTGTGATCGGCTACAAGGAACGGCTCTGAGAGTCACCATGTGGCATCATCGTCTCTCTGCAATAGGTGAGTATTTTTTTTTATACAAAATTTGTTAAAATAATGAATAATCTGTTTGTATATTTGAGGCTAGCATTTTGTTCAGTATTTAGTATGCGTGGATTCTAAAAGAAGGAAGACGAATGAAATTAGGCTATCAGAAATGTAACTGTGTAAACCGCATCCAACTTGGTATAGTAGTTTTTGCTGGCATCACGCAACAAACATACAGACAGACCGGCATAATTCTTTTTTTTAATTACTTATTTGTTGTTTGCTTTTATCAAGACCGCTCATATTAATTTTTCCTAAATATCTCCCATGTTGAGACAATTTTAATTTTACTATTAGTAAGATTGCCATATTAAAAATAAGTTTTGATTATTACCAATTTGTGGAGATATGAAAAAATTTTAAAAACAGAAACAGTGTGATACTTACCACAGTTTCATTTTTATATCTCACTAGTTGTAGCATTCACAA